TATTTCCAATTTAAATTATATAAATTATCATGAATTATCAATTATATTTTTCTGTTTTAAACAATTGTTTTTTTTATGATGTTTAAATCATTTGTTTTAAACGTTTTAAATAAAAGTCCGTGTTTGATTAATTTAGATATTTTAAAAACATGTTTTAAACAAGTGTTTAAAACAAAATGTTTAAAACATCTCAACTCCGTTTTGTATCACTACTGAGTATATTGTAGACACTACTCCGATTTATTTATATCTAAAATATTCTGATGAAAGAGGATTTTTAGGAGGGGGGGGTAAGTTATAGGTATAGATGGGATGGGAGGGGGACAGAAGTGAAAGGCATTGATGAGAGGGGAAGGACACGTAAGTGAAAGACATGGATGGGAGGGGGCATGGCCGAGCATGGCCGCGAAAGCATAGATCTATAGGCTGGGTGCGGTAGCCGGATTCTCCAGATTTGCGGGGGGCACAGAACCTACCAAAACATACTACTATTGCGTTTCGAATGTTTTGAGTTAGTAGAATTAAGTGGCGAAACGGGCCACATACTCGGATCCGGAATTTTCTCAAAGACGTAATTATCGCCAACCTTGGCCAAACGAGTCAACTGGCTCATTTGTAGGTCTATAACTACCGATTGTTGACAATAAAATCGTTTAACGAACGTACGACAGAGATAACGGAACGAACTTAGTGCGAAGTACGTGCGTTCATATTGAGCGCTGCGACCGAACTAGAGCTTTAATACTTATTCAAGATTAAAAACTTAATCATTTTGTTAACAAAATTTCTAACAACAAATTAAAAATCTAAGACACCAACGTACTAAATAAGCTATACTCACTTATAATTTGCTAAATCTTCTTTGGTGATTATACTTTCTACTTTTTTTAAATCTTCTAACACTTTAGACGTCAATGAACCATTATAAAATGCATCCACWCCTTCTTTCGCTATTGTTTTCAGAGTTTCTGCTAATTTAGGTAACTTGTAAATTTGTCCAAGAGTTTTAACTCTATTAGATTCTTCATCGTAAAATGATTCTCTAAAAACAATATTTCATTTCATTGAATAACTAAAGTGTCTAAACTTTAAAGTTTGGTTACAGGAATTACAAAGTATTAACTAGTGTTAGCAGTGGTACTTTCGTAACAAAATTAAAATGACCTTCATTTTATAAATTTAAAGCAATAATGCAGGTATACAACGAATATCATAATTTTATAAATACTACACAGCTAATCGGATTCAAAAAGCCGCTGGATTTATTTGTAAACAATTATTTTACAAAGCTTTTACGGAATACATTCACAAATTCGTGTAAACTTTACAAAAATACATCTTTTATAAACCAGTTTTGTTCATTTATATTTATTTGCCTACAAGTGTTATTAATTATTATTAACTATTTCACCAGTCAGATTTAACATCTTATAATATTTGACTCTTGATAATTCTCTTGGAAATTACTATTAGATATTTTGTTATGGTGGGAATTTGAACATGCTTTTATCAATAAAATTGCAATAACCATGGTTGTCGGTCACGTGGACGATGATTAACTATATCAATTATTATAGATGATACACTTAAACGTGATAATAACCAATATTAATTAATTGTTACGCGGTTCTAACTTATAGATGATTGATAAATTTCATATGACAATAAACTACATTACATACCTAATACTAATTGCTTAGTTAAAAAAAAATAATAATAAGGTATAGGTACGATCGCATACATTCGCATTTGTACAATTTTTACAGAGTATACGCTAATTCACAAAATAGTAAATAGGTTTACGCCATATACCCACAAGGCCACAACCCACGTATGCCCTACAAAAACACCATCATATTAGTTATTTATCTATATATATATATATATATGTACACTGTACAGTGCATACTATGTTTATACATAATACATACAGCTGTAACATATAAGTGCATATATACATAGATATTAAAGTATAAAACAAAGAAATGTACCTAGCTATCATCTGTATCCCTACTTCTCCATACTAAAATACTTTGGTCTAACTTGAACTCAACATTAAAGCGAAAACAGATTATCCCTAAAAAGTCGGCTACGAAAGCTTAAGCGTGTAATTAGTAACAAAGTCACCCCCATTAATATCAAACTTTTCGTGTACAAAACCTTATCAAAACACATCTGAACATATACGCACTCCAGATATCGTTATCCCAACAGCAACWACCCGTATCTCCAAAAGTACAATTTTACAGGAAGACCAAAAAACTGTTTAATTTTGAAAAGTTTAAAAATGTTAGCAACTTTTGATACTGAATTAAGTTTTAAAGTTATACTTACAAATTTATACATAACAAACACTAATTTGTTATTGTTATTAGATTATTTAGTGTAGATACGAGTTATTAACAACTTATTTTCCCTTGCGTGTAATCGTTACTAGTATCTAAGTGTTGTTGATACATACATTTGAGGKTATAACTGCACGTAACTGAATTGTATTAATTATTTAAATTAATAATTAATTACCTTATTTTGTTGAATAAAATGCATTAAATTTGATTTTCAAGTTAAATATTTCATCAAAAATATATAGCACATTAATAAGAGCTAGAAAAAAATACTAAAATGTCCAATATAAGAAGGATACAAGTTATTAAAAATATAATTTTAAGAAAGTTAATAAATGCTCTTCCACATATACTAAACCATACTCGACAAATAAATTGTAGCTTAAAAATCAAWTCTTGACGAAATATTTCTGTGAAAAATTTCATAACCGGCTATCTTCTCATTCAAATCCACTCATCAAGAACTTGTCATACCTTCCAATTCTAGTTAGGTGCCCAAGGGCCAAGATAACTTAAACGTCAATTATGAAGAAATGAATTACGTTGAAACAAAAGAATATGAAATTAAAAATAAACAAAACTGAATAATTAAATAGAAGGTGTCATCATTTGGTGGCCTTTCCTCATATTATATATTATGTTCAATTGTTTTCTTACATTTATTTATTATGCCTAAAATATTGGTTATATATTTTATCCTAAAAAACAAAAAATGTACCTTAGCGCTGGATCATTCTTAATCATATCTTGATTGTTCTTCATGTTTTTCTCTAGACGTTCACTGATATCTATACCATCTTCGCATAATTTTATAGCTGGCTCGAATACAAAATCCCAGGGAACACCACCACCGTATAATTTATATATAGCCGAGTAGCCTTTTAGCGCTCCTGGAACCGCGATTGCCAATCCTCCTTCACATATTTTGTTAGTTAAAAAATTTTTTTGTATGAACAATAAATACATAGATTTTATTTAGTAAAATTTGGTTAGTTCCGAATTCTAAAGCATAAATAATTATTCATGCGTTTATCATCAATATACACGAAATCCATTGTTCTACGACATTACGCATAATTTAAATAATAGATCAAAAATAAAATTTATTTAGCAAATTATTTGTTTTTGTTATGAATTTTTCAACATAACTATAATTACTTTTTCTCACCTAAATATTTAATTTATAGAGGTAATTTTAATAATATACAAATTAATTTAAATGCTTTATAACCTTTTTCCTTATCATCTTCGGCTCTGAGCTTATGAAAACAAATAAGCTCGTAAATAAAATTACATAGATATTAAGCTATTCACTGTTTTTCATTTCTGATTACAAGCCGTAAAATTTTAATTAAGATCGGTCAAGTACAATAAATTTTCCTTTTTACACACATTTAACTTATACTTTCAATATTTACTCAATTAATGAGTTAACAATATTAGCTCAACTTAACCGTATTTAAGGTTTTAGTACCTACGTACCGTAAATAGATTTGTCGGGATATTTAAGTCTAAATTCCTACTGTATTTTCTACAAGACCAAAAAAAGTATAATCAAAGTACACAATTTATTATAATTTCAATAAATCTATCACCTAAGTATTCTTTTTTAAATGTGCCTAAATATTGTAGTGTACTCACCAAGCATTGATTTTTTGGGGTCTTTTACAAACATCGAAGTACTTGCTGCGGCTGGAGCTGTTTCTCGTGCATTGATCGTGATTACTTTTTTGGTAGTTGCATGGTAGATGCTCATTAAAAAACCTCCACCAATTCCCAAGTATTCTGGACATAGAACACTGTCACATAGCATTGTAGCTATCGCGGCATCTACGGCATTTCCTCCCCTTGACATAACATCCCTTTTGTAAAACAATCGGAATCGAGCAAATTAAATGTGATCAATTTATGGTTATTTTTAAAAATTATAACTTYTTAAAGCATAAAAAAGAGCATTAAAGATTAATTTTAATATTAAATTTTAAAGAAAAATCCAAATTTTGGCAATATTTTTGTGATTTTAATAATTTTATTACACTCCGATTTGTGAGCATGGCTCACCGTTGCAAACGATTCCGACTTTATTATACAATCCAGCTGGCATACTTGACTGCAGTGGTACCTGAGGTTCCAGATCATTAATTTTGTGGTCGGTAGTATGTGGTTCTAGATACAAGACTAAGAACGAAACTATGATAATTAGTATTATCAGTGCTACTAGGAACAGGCAACTCTTTGATTTAAATCTGAAGAAAAACAATAAATATCGTTCCAGTGTGAGACTAATTAATAATAATGTCGATCGCAATTTGATTAAAAAAATATGTCATCTATCATTACACTACTTACTGTGTGAATGGTTCGACGTTGGTTACGTTTCCGACCTTGTTGAACGAGACTGATCTCAACATACTTGGCGGTGGAAACTCGAATTTTAGGTTAGAGATTTTGCCGACAGAATTGTTCTCCAAGTATTCCTGGTATACGACTTGGAATGAAATTATGACAGTCAGCATCACCAATCCCACTTGAACAAGGCGACTATGTTTTGATTGTAATCATAAATAAACAATTATATAGACATAAACGCAAAAACTATGACAGCATAACATAACAGCTTAACAGTTCATAGTGGAAATTATCTGCCCCAACATAATAATCTACCAATATTTGAGAACACTCAATATCTTTAAGTAGAGCCTTGCAATTTGAATTCTGTTCCAATAGTTGATTGTTATGATATAAAAATACCCATTTTTATGATCTTTGAATTTGTTTAATTTAATTAAACATGCGCATGCGCAGTGTAACTTTCATTTTCTTGAACGGCAACCACTTATTATTTTTGCCTATTTTTTGTATGGATATTGGTAGTTCAACCAAATTTAAGTGCAAAATTAATAAATTTAAGAATTGCTGCAAACTTTCATGGATTTTTTTGTTATGAAAATTGTACCCGAAGTATAGATGTTAAATTCTAAACAAGCTAGCCAAAGAAAACTTTTCATTTGAAGTATAATTATTATTAATAATATAAGAAAAATTTTATATTACAAACAAGAAATCGCGATAATTATAAGTTATTACAATGAAGGTCATGAACGGACATGAACGGTCGATTAACGTTCAAATAAAATCGTGGGATTCTGGGCTCATATTATGAGTATCATAATACTTAGTATATCACAAAACTAATTAATTATTATTTATTTGGCTAGTGGTAGTATATATTTCTTTAAATTTTATAATAAGAGTAAAATAAACTTACAAAGTCACATGCATTGTGTTTGGCTTTGTATTGTACAAACATAAATTCGATGACAAAAATTTGATAACAATATGAACACTCGAGGGGTAATAATATTTACTACTTCTTATTATTTTAAGCGTATTGGTAGAACAAATATTAAAATTCTTTTAAATTTAAAACAACAGTAATAATAAATAGAAAATTAGAAACAATGCCACTGATCTCTAACATAAAATAYTGAGTTTAATCGGGTTATTTATAATTATGAAACTCGTAGTGAAACGAATACTAAACGGCAAGTAAATATTTTTGTTAATAACAAACCAATCGAAAACCTAATCTAAAGACGACTGAAGAGTACAAATATAGGTAATAAATAATATATATTTATGTTGAAATACTTGACATTTACATTGATAATGCTAAATTGAATTATACTAATCGTAATATTATCGTATATTTTCATTATAAATTAAACCGGTTTAAAAAATAACCTAAAGAAGTTTGGCAAGTACAGTGATTAATATAGATAATAAAACTTATTTAAGCATATTATACTAAGACATTTGAAATAGTTGCGTTTTGAACTACAGATTATGTATCTATCATTAATAATTATTTATATGATAATTTAACATTCAGAATAATATAAATAATTATTTATATTTAATATTTACTATAACTACGATTTTACAAAATGCAAATAAAAAAATAAAAAAAGCGGGTAAGTGGGTATCGCTCTGCTTTAATTGGGGGTGGGATGGAACTCTGACTAGGGTAGGTTAAATTTGAATGCAATGATAGGTATCATTGTATACGAAAAACGATTCTGAACGGAGACGGTTTATCTGTCTAGGATATATGTATTATAGATTATTAAACATTTTCAAATCTTAGATTTAAAAAGAAATTTTTTTATGAATTTCTAGGATAAAATAATTTACGAATTTTTGTGATTTTTAGGTATGTTCTCAAAATTAAAATTTGAATGCATGTAAAAAAAAAAATTGTGGCTATATATTTATTTTATTTTTCAACTGCTATTGTAAAAATATATTATGAGCCTTGTATTAAATTCTCAAATCTTAGAATTAAAAAGAAAAACTTATGAATTTTCATAAGTTTTGTGTACTTATTATTACTATTAATACTGGGTGTATTAAACATCCAGAAGATAAATAGCAAATTAATATCTGAGAAATCTTGCAATAGCGAAGCACATACCGAACACTGTATAATAATCATGATTATAGTTAAATTTTTGAGACAAAAATGATTCATCTGCACATATTTAAATTCAAGGTTAGGCTATTGACTTATAAAATAAGTACCCATTAAAACATTTCCACTTTAAGCTTTTCTAATTCTAAGATTTATGATTATTATTTTTTTTCTAATGATAAATAAATCGTTTGAAAAATATTTAAATGTTTGTTGATTTACATATAATGATAAGCAAGTTCCTACAATCTGAACATAGGTATTTATTGACTTTTAAACATCAAATGCATTTAGGTTACCCACTTAAAATTTTGGGCCTCTGAACTAAATATTTTTGCAAACTCTAAAAAATTGTATTTAATTGGAAATAAATATTCCTATCAATATTTTAAAATTTCATRCATTACAAATTCATTTCAACGTGTCCCTAAAATAGCTTAGCCCCTCTACTYCAAATTTTAATGCGCATCCCTTTTGAGGAGCGCTGTGTGCATTATACATACGAATGATAAGTCAATAATCAGTGCTATTGAATTGGAAAAAAAATAGAAGGGGGATGCAAAAGTATAAAAGATATGTGCGTCCCCGAACATTTAAATGTCTTACTGTTAAGTGGTAGCATATGTCCCCCCCCCCACTACAATGACATTTTATACCATACAACAATAAACAAATATTCATTTTTATTTAAAAATTAAAAATAAAATATTGTAAAATACATAATAATAATTGTTATTTGTKTTATAAATTTRAATATGCCCATAAATGTTTATAGGAATGATCTATGTCATGTTCGTCTCGTTTTGGACATCTTGTTTCTTCTACACTTCTTTTACCCATTTTAATCCAACTTTTTACATAGTGGTCTGGTTTAAACAATTGAACAGGTGGTCCAACACAACTAATAAACACTAATGATGCTATGTGTTCAGAAGTTAGTACGTTTCTTTTARGCGTTATTATGTTGTTCATGGAACTAAATGATCTTTCACATTCAGATGAAGATACAGCAATAGTTGAAATTGCAACATTATACCTTTATCATACCTATTATATTTTAGCCACAAATCATGATCGTTATTCTTTTTGCACTGATAGGTGATAAGTGATAACAGTGATAAACAACAACATTAAAATAAAATAAAAAATATTTCCATTAATTTAGTACAATTTTTAAAATGATTCCCGTCCCCAGCGTCCCATTAAAAGAAATTAGAAGGGGTA